TAGGGATTTGGGGCAGGAACACAAACACACAGCTACAATGTTTTTCAAGTCACTGGGGTTGGGACTCAAACCCCAGTGGGTCACGTGGGATCTGGTTCTCTTTTTGTTGTGGTGGTAGTTGTTTTTTAGAGAGATTTTTGCTATAGAGCATGTGCACTTGCAGGAGAGAAAGAGAGAGACAAAAAGTGAGAAATCATCCCCCAGAAGGTTGGCCATGCCACAATCCCTTCACCTCCAGTCTCTTGGAAATGCATACATACACCCGGTGTGAGTTTCAGGCTAGCAGGTCCAGGATCAAACTGCATTCAGTCGTGTAATCATTATGCCACCTACTGATCCTAGGATCTGGTTCTCTCAACCACTAGGCCATGAGCCAACCCAAGTGCTTCTTAAATTTTTAAACAGAGATCATTATACTACCTATTTCACAGGTTGCTTGTGATAGGAAAATAAGATAATGTATCAAAGAGCCTTACCAAGATGTTCAAAAGGAAGCACTCAATAAATATTACTATAGGGCAAGCAGGTAGTGTGGAGGTTAAGGTGTTGTATCCTACATAGCTGACTCCTCGGTTCAGGTTCCAGACCTGGTGGCCTGAAAAGTCATGCCTGGTGTGTGTGCATGCATGCCCAAAGTCCCAAGAGGAGAGGGCAGAAGAGACTGCATCCTGGCCAACCCCCAGGAAGTGATTACTCACTTTCCGTCTCTCGCTCTGTCTGTGTCTCTGGAGAGCACATGTGCTCTACAGCAAAAATAAGTTAATAAATAAATAATGTAAACACTATAATAATGAATTTTTTTTTTTGGAGAGGTTTTTTCGCTATAGGGCACGAGTGCTCACCAGACAGATAGAGACAGAAAGCGAGAAATCAACCCCCGGGGGCGATGGTCACGCTGCAATCCCTTCTCCTCCATTCTCCTCTTGGGCACACACGCACATGTGCCTGGTGTGAGTTTTAAGCCACCAGGTCCGGGACACAAACCACAGCCGACTACGTGGGAGTCCAGCGACATAGCCATTACGCTAACTGCTGGTCCCATAATAATGAAGTCTTAGTGGAAAAATTCTAGTACTTTAAAATATATAAAGTGGTTAGATAATTAAATTTTATAAACTTAATATTCTATTATTAGAGGGCATTTTTATTATCTTAAAGTGTATTTTAAATTTCCAGGGTTGGGGCCGGCAGGTGGCATGGTAGTTAAGGGCATTGGACTCCCACATGGCTGACTGCAATACAAGACCTGAACCTAGCAGCTTACTTTCTCACTTTCCCTCTCTCACTCTGTCCCTCTCTGATCAAATTAAGATAAATAAATACATAAATACATAAATACATAAATAAGTAAAGTTAAATAGAATAATACTATTTAAAGAATTATTTATTTAATTTTATTTATTCATTCATTTATTTTTATTTGATCAGAGAACAAAAGATAAAGAGAGAGAAGGAAAGTGGGAAAGCAAGCCACCAGGTCCTGGACTTGAACCATGGTCAACCATCTGGGAGTGTCCAGCACCCTAACCACCATGCCACCTGCAGCCCATATAGAATAATTCTTTTAAAAAATATTTCCAGGGTTATCTGCTGTTTTTGTGCAATTTAATAAATAATCTTTTGATGACTGCAGGCATGTGAGACTGGCTATATTCAGAAACATTAGTCATGATGGTTTTCCAGATTGGTGTATTATCTTCAAAAATCATAAGGAGTTACTTGTCTGCAACTGCTATCAAACCAGTAAGATAGCATTTATGCTGTCTTAAGACATCATTTTCAGGATTGTTGATAACTTGGACATATTTCCCCCAAATAACCTTGCCTCTTTGTGTCACAAGGTCCAACTTGCTCACACTCACCTCAATGATAGCACTTTTGGTGATAACACCCAAAGTTGTATATAGTGAGATGAGGGATTCTTCTTTAAAACAAGTATTGGCAGAGGGAACCAGCAGTTAGCGTAATGGCTATGTCGCTGGACTCCCACGTAGTCAACCGTGGTTCACATCCCGGACCCGGTGGCTTACAACTCACGCCGGCTCACGCCGGACGCGTGTGCGTGTGTGCCCAAGATCCCGAGGGGAATGGAGGAGAAGGGATTGCAGCGTGACCATCCCCCCTGGGGATGCTTTCTGTCTCTCTCTCTGTCTGGTGAGCACACGCACCCTATAGAAAAAACCTCTCCAAAAAAAAAACCAAAAAACAAAAAAAAAAACAAAACAAGTATTGGCAGGCAAAAAGTGGTTTTCAGTTCAGGATATGTTATGTGAGCCTTCTTGAAATGTAAGTCCATTGGTCTAACGAATCTTTCATATTTAGGTGGTTTTCTAGTAAAGCCATCTCCAACAAAGCAGACTTTTGTAACCATCCTCTTCCATGCCTTCTTCTTTCTCTTTCCTGTTCAAATAACATTTTCTGAAAATTAGTATAATCCTATTTTTTATAACTTTACATTGTATTACATTGTTTTTTCAAAAGGGAATGCCATGCATGTCAGTCAGTACAGAGACATTAATCTCCCCACTTCAACATTCAATATCTTTTCTGTTTTCCCCAATCATTATTTTTATTATTCTAATTATTTTTATAAAACAGTCAATTGTTATTTCTCGTTTTGCTTGTAAAAATACTTTGCCCATCATGAAATACTTCTCAGACCAATCCAGTTGAGAATACTATACATGTCATCATCAACAGTTAATAACCCCTATCTGTTTCTCACTAACGTCCTGTCTCTCTATTGTTCACTTGCTATCTTTCTCTATCCTCTTCTCTTCACTTACCCCATTCCACACTGTCCTATTCTCATTAAGTACCTTCACTGTGTTTATGTCCTCCGAATTTTTGCTCTCTATTATAGAGTGCGGATAGTCGGTATATATTGAGTGGATACATACAATATCTTTCTTTCATAGCCTGGCTTACTTCACTCAGCAATAGATCCTCCATATCTGACCATTTTCTATCAAATTCCAGGGTCTTGTTATTTTTTATGGCTGAGTAGTATTCCATAGAGTATATATACCACACTTTTCCAATCCATTCATCAGTTTGTGGACATTTAGGTTGGTTCCATGTCTTGGCAATTGTGAATAATGCTGCAATAAACATGGATGTGCAAGCACTTTTCTGACTGAGCGTTCTCCTGTCTTTTGGGTAAATACCCAGAAGTGGGATTGCTGGATCAAATGGTAGTTCTATTTGTAGATCTTTGAGGAACCTCCATATTGTTCTCCACAGTGGTTGAACTAGTTTACATTCCCACCAACAGTGTAGGAGGGTTCCCTTTTCACCACATCCCCGCCAACACTTATCACTTTTTATATTCTTAATCTTTGCCATTCTGACAGGGGTTAGGTGGTATCTCATTGTGGTTTTTATCTGCATTTCCCTTATGATGAGGGATGTCGAGCATTTCCTCATATGCTTTTTGGCTGTTCGTATGTCTTCCTTAGAGAGACTTTTGTTCAGCTCACTTTCCCATCTTTTAATCGGGTTAATCATTTTTTTTCGCATAAGGCACTTGAGTTCCCTATGTATTCTCGTTATCAGTCCCTTGTCTGAGGCATATTTAACAAAAATATTTTCCCATTCTGAGGGTTGTCGGTTCACACTTGTTACTGTGTCCTTTGCTGTGCAGAAACTTCTTAGTCTAATATAGTCCCACTTGTCTATTTTAGGGATTATTGCCTGTGCTTTGGGAGTCTTATTTAAGAAGTCTTTGCCTACTCCAATGTCTCCCAGAGTTTCCCCAGCATTTTCCACAAGTAGTTTTATTGTCTGAGGTCTTAGGTTCAGATCTTTGATCCATTTTGAGTTGACTGTTGTTAATGGTGAAAGATGGGGGTTCAGTTTCATCTTTCTGCAGGTGGATACCCAGTTTTTCCAGCACCATTTACTAAAGAGGTTTTCCTTTTCCCAATGGATTGACTGATATCCTTTGTCAAAGATCAGTTGGCTATAAGCTTTGGGAGTTATTTCTGGGGTCTCTATTCTCTTCCATTGGTCCACATGTCTGTTTTTATGCCAATACCATGCTGTTTTGATGACCACAGCTTTATAGTATATCTTGGGATCAGGGAGTGATATGCCTCCTACTCCATTCTTCTTACGCAGGATTGCTTTTGCAATACGAGGTCTTTTATGGTTCCAGACAAATTCTATAATTGTCTTTTCTAGATCTCTGAAGAATATCTCTGGTATTTTGATTGGAATTGCATTAAACATGTAGATTAATTTGGGTAGAATTGCCATTTTGATTATGTTAATTCTACCAATCCAGGAGCATGGGATGTCCTTCCACTTTTTTATGTCACTTTCAATGTCTTTTTTAAGATTCTCGTAGTTTTCTTTATAAAGGTCTTTGACTTTCTTAGTTAGGTTTATCCCTAGGTATCTTATACATCTTGTGGCTACGGTGAAAGGGATTCCTTTCTTCCGCTCTGCTTCGTTCAACTTGTTGTTCATAAATAGAAATGCTATAGATTTTTGGATATTGATTTTGTATCCTGCCACCTTACTGTATTCACTTATTACTTCAAGCAGTTTTTTCATGGATACCTTTGGGTCTTCTAAGTATACCATCATGTCATCTGCAAATAAAGATATTTTCAACTCTTCTTTGCCTATTCGAATGCCTTTAATACTGTTCTCTTCTCTGATTGCAATAGCTAAGACTTCCAGTACTATATTAAAGAGCAGTGGAGAAAGTGGGCAGCCTTGCCTAGTACCTGTTTTCAGAGGAAAAGCTTTCAGCTTTTCCCCATTCAGTATAAAGTTAGCTGTAGGTTTTTCATAGGTTGCTTTTATTGTGTTCAGAAAAGTCCCTTCTATACCAATCTTACTGAGAGTCTTAATCATATAAGGATGTTGCATTTTATCAAATGCTTTCTCTGCATCAATTGAGATGATCATGTTTTTATCTTTCTTTCTGTTAATGTGGTGTATTACATTTATGGTCTTGCATATATTGAACCACTCTTGCATCCCTGGTATAAAAAAAAATGGAACACTTCATGAATTTGCATGTCATGCTTGTGCAGGGGCCATGCTAATCTCTGTATCGTTCTAATTTTAGTATATGTGCTGCCAAAGCGAGCACTCAAATAACTTTTAATACTTCTGTTTCTCCTGGGCTCGAACTTTGGATAGAGGGGCTTCACATTTTCCTGCTTTCTCTTTCCGTTTTCATTTAATCATATTGGAAAGTACATTAGCTCAGGACTGTCCAGCACTCTTAACCACCATGACACCTGTTGCCCCCCCCCCTTTTTTTTAACAGAATAAACCTCTAGGGTTCTGCCAGGAAATGGAGGAACAGTTGTCTAAATAAGCAAGATGAAGAAAAAGACTTGGTAGTTTAACTTTCTATATAAGCTTTGAGCCAATCTGCCTCTCATTTTTAAAAGAGTTTATTTATTAATTTAATTCCATTTGTTATTATTATTTTTCAATTTGACCAGGTAAAGACAGAGAAAGAGAGAGAGAAAAAGGGAAAGCAAGAAAGCAAGCTGCCAGGTCTGGGACTTAAGCCATGGTGGGCCATGTGGGAGTCCAGCGCCTTTAACCACCACCACCACCCCTTTTTTTTAGAAAGAGAGATTTTTGCTATAGGATACATGCACTCGTCAGAGATACAGAGAGAGACAGAAAGACAGAAACAAGAACTCACCCTCTAAGGGAGAAAGCCATACCACTTCTCCTCCATTCTCTCAGGATTTGGAGCATGCACACACATGCGCCTGATGTGAGTTTTAAACTGCTGTGTCCAGGACTTGAACCATGGTTGACTACATGGAAGTTCAGCAAAGTAACCATTATGCCATCTACTAGTCCTCAATCCCCCTATTTTTAGTCCCTCACATCACTTCTGCTTTTATGGCACTGATTTTATTTCTTGACATTCTGGTGTTCAGCAATACAAACATGTTTGTCTCAGTTTATGATACATCCTTTTGCAAGCATTTTGAATTTGGTTTTCTTAATTCAACTATGGCTTTTTTTTTTTTTTTTGAGAGGTTTTTGCTATAGGGTGCGTGTGCTCGCCAGAAAGAGAGAGAGAGAGAGAGAGAGAGAGAGCGCAAGTGAGAAATCACCCCCCAGGGGGGATGGCCACACTGCAATCCCTTCTCCATTCTCCTCTCAAGATCTTCGGCACACACGCACACTCGCCCAGCATGAGTTTAAGCCACCAGGTCCGAGACTCAAACCGTGGTTGGCTACATGGGAGTTCAGCGACATAGCCATTACGCTAACTGCTGGTCCCAACTATGGCTTTCTATTCTTCAAAAAATGTGTTCATATCTTTCATCTGTTATTACACTTTCTTATTCTTGTAGACCGGTAACTTTAAAAATATTAACTCACTCTCATTTTAGTGATTTGAGGGGGAATACAGGGATAAATATATTTTATCTGTCCGTGCATAACCAAAGTGCAAGACTGTCCATATACTTGGTCTTTATTGCTATGGGAAAAAAGTCAGGGACCAGGCAGTGGCACAGTATTGACTCAACTAAACCTGCCTGGAAAATTCGGTCCTGGGTTTGTATCCCTGGGTTGGTCCTGAGCATGTCAAATGCATGGATGCATGCTTATGATCCAGATTGGCTGAGACTAAGGATGGATGATAGTGTGAAGACCCTACTGGGGATGCCCATCTCTCTCTCTCTCTGCAATTGAAGAAATAAATGAATAAATTTTAAATATAAAAAAGTCAGAACTAGAAAATTCATATGTAAAATTTTGTTCTGGTAGGCTGATGTGCAAAAAGCAGAAGTCTGAGAATTACAGAACCTGTATCCAACTACTGTTAACATTTTACTGGTTGTTTAATGTTAAGTAAATTAAATGTTCTAAACACCTGTTTCCTTTATCTTTAAAGTGGTGATAATGTTTATCATGGTAATACTAGTAAACAATAGATTTTGTTTTGTTTTGTTTTGTTTAAGGTTTTTGCCACAGGGTGTGTGCACTCACCAGAGAGAGAGAGAGAGAGACAGCGAGGGAGAGAAGGAAAGTGAGGTAACTTCCCCCAGGGGGTATGGCCACACCACAATCCTTTCTCCTCCTTTCTCCTCTTGGGATTTTGGTCACACATGCACATGTAACCAGCATGAGTTTCAAGTTGCCAGGTCCAGGACTCAAATCATGGTCAGCCATGTGGGAGTCCAGTGCCTTAACCATCGTGCCCCAGAAAAAAATATTTTTTTTTTTTTTTTTTTTTAGAGATTTTTGCTATAGGGCACATGTGCTCACAAGAGAGACAGAGAGAAAGAGACAGAAAGTGAGAAATCACCCCCCAGGAGATGGCCGTGCTGCAATTCCTCCTCCTCCATTCTCTTCTCAGGATTTTGGACAAGCATGCACACTTGCCTGGTGTGAGTTTAAGCCACTGGATCTGGGACTTGAACCGTGATCGACTATGTGGGAGTTCAGCGACATAACCATTATGCCGTCTGCTGGTCCAGTAAGCAATAATTTTAAAAGTTGAGTCAGAGCCAGCAGGTGCATGCAAAAAAGGCACTGGATCCTACATGGTCAGCTTCACTGTTTGAGTCCTGGACCAGGCATGTGTGCCTATGTATGTGTGTGCCCAAGATACCAAGAGGAGAGTGAAGGAGAAGGTATTGTTGTGTGGCCATCCTCCAGGGGAGTAATGTCTAACTTTCCTGTTCTCTGTCTCTCTCTGGTGACCACTTGTGTCCTATAGCAAAAGTTAAAAAAAAAAAATGTGAGCCACTCAGTGGCTGTGGTTAAGGGGCCTGGATTCCACATGACCAATTGTGTGGTTCGAGTCCTGGACACGGCAGTTTGAAAAACACTCTGGTCACATGTGAGCCAAAATCCCAAGACAATAATGGAGGAGAAGGAATTGTGGTGTGGTCCCACCACCTACCCTCCGTAGGGGGCACATTCTCACTTTTCCTCTTTCTTTCTCCCTCTATTTTTTTTGGCAAGTTCATGTGCCCTATAGCAAAAAATAAATAAATTTTAAAAAATGAATTTAAGTTGTATGGTTAAAAAGAAAAGTTCATGTGGAACTACAGGGCTCATAACAAAAAATAGCAAGTATATACATATATATGTGTGTGTGTGTATATATATATATATATATATATATATATATATATATATATATATATATATATATATATATATATATATATATATATATATATATATATATATATATATATATATATATATATATATATATATATATATATATATATATATATATATATATATATATATATATATACACACATACATATACATATATATATAAAAATTTTAATTTCACCAGAGAGGGACGAAGTGAGGGGGAGAGAGAGAGAGATAGAGAGAGAGAGAAAGTGAAAAAGCAAGTTGCCAGGTCTGGAACTCAAACCATGTGGGACTCAGCCATGTGGGAGTCTAGTGCCCTTAACCACCACACCACCTGCTGGCCCCAGGAGTATATTTTAACATATTTTAAGAATTATTTTATTTAACTTTATTTATTTATTTCAATTTAACCAGAGAGGAACAGAGTGACAGAGTGAGAGAGAGGAAAAGTGAGAAAGCAAGCTGCCAGGTCCAGGACTTGAACTGCATTTGGCCATGTGGGACTTGAACTGCATTTGGCACCCTTAACCACCATGCTACCTGCTGGCCCCATATTTTAACATATTTATACATATAAACAAACCAAAAAAAAAGAAAAAAAAAAAACTAAAGGAAAAAGAAGGTAGTGACCTCCTAAAAGCCTGAGGTACCCTCTGAGACTCTTTTACTTGCTTTTTTTCATGTTTACCAATATTTTTCCAAATAAAATATTTATAACGCTATTTATTGATTTATAAACTTTAAACAGTACCTAATATAGAAGATGAGAATTTAATACCTTATACTTTCCCAGCATCCCAATATTGTTATTTCACAATATTTCTTATTAAATCAATGTTTCATGTTAATTTTATTGATTTCACAAGTGTGGTTTACTTCTGTATCAATTAGTCGTGTTATTATTACATTTCCTTTATTTTATTTTATTTTTTAAAGAATTTTTTTAAGTAATTTTATTCTACTTTATTTTATTTATTTATTTTAATTTGATCAGAGAGGGACAGAGTGAGAAAGAGAGAAACGGAAAGTGAGAAAGCAAGCCATCGGTTCTAGAACTCAAACCGCGGTCGGCCATGTGGGAGTCCAGCAACCTTAACCACATCACCTGATGGACCCTACATTTCCTTTCTTATACATCTAAGTAACCAATGACCAAGTAAGATAATTTATATAAATATACAAATATGCATCAAATATATATAACTTATTATGAAATCTATTACCAAGAGGCATAGCCAAATACATTTTGAAAGGTAGTTGAACACAGTAGGAAAAATATGGGCTTCAAGGTCGACAGACCTAGACTCAAATTCCTCTGTCATTCATTGTGTGATCTTGAGTAAGTGAATGAAATTCTCTGAGGTTTATTTTTTTCATTTACCCCATGGTTACAGTTTGAATGTTGGTCTGTTCCCCAAAATTTCATGTTTTGAAATTTGGTGTTGGAAGGTGGTAAGGCTAAGTGGCCAGTGATAAGTTCATAGTGCTTGCATTAGGGAGGTGACACTCTTGTGAATAGATTAATCATGTCTTTTGAGAAACAATGAGTTCTAGATCTTCTGAGAAAGGGTTAGTTCTTACAAGAGCTGGCTGCTATATAAGAGAGAGAATGGTTCACCTCTTGCTCTTTCTCTGCACATGCCCACCACCTACCATGCTTCTGTTAGCCACACCTGAGGCTAACCAGGTGCCAGGTCTTTTCCTTTAGACTTTTTATTAATAGCTGCCAAAACTGTTAGTCATAAACCTGTTTCTTTACAAATCACCCAGTCTCAGGTGATTTTTGTTAGCAACACAAAAATAGACTAATACACTTGTTTATAAAATGGGTATACTGTTATTAACTTGACAAGGCTATTTTATTAAATGGGATAATGCATGTAACATCTGCTATAGGTCCAGACACTCAGTAGGTACTCAAGAGATTCTCCTTCATAGTCCTCTAGTTTGGGGACAGCATTTTTACACTGACATGAAAATCCCAAGCTTATA